TAAAAGCATAAAATAATTTAAAAATTAACTTCTACAAAAAAATTTGTAAATTGGGTTCTAAAACTGAAATAGAGACAAGAAAATTTCGTCTGTTAAAATAAATGTTGTGTAATTAAAAGTGAAAATCTCTAAAATTTTGTGAGTTTTCCGCTGAAAGGCTACCAAAATTTATCAAAATATATAAGATATGTATTTCAGATTCAATTTCATAGATAATAACATATTTTAGACCTAATTTAGCGATTTTTAGTAAAATAGATGCACAAAATAATAAAAAAATAGCAACACTGTTTATTACTAAATAATTGAAAAAAAAATTGTGTAATTAAAAGTGAAAATCTCTAAAATTTTGTGAGTTTTCCGCTGAAAGGCCACCAAAATTTATCAAAATATGAAAGATAATGCAAGAATAAAAAAAATAGCAACACTGTTTATTACTAAGTAATTGAAAAATTACCATCTACAAATGTCCCAAAATTTTTGTAAATTGGGTTCTAAACTGAAATAAAGACAAAAAAATTTCTTCAGTTAAAATAAATTTTGTGTAATTAAAAGTGAAAATTTCTAAAATTTTGTGTTTTCCGCTGAAAGGCTACCAAAATTTATCAAAATATGAAAGATAATGCGTTTCAGATTTAATAACATATTTTAGACCTATAATTTAGCGATTTTTAGTAAAATAAAATCATAAAATACTAAAAAATAGCAACACTGTTTATTACTAAATAATTTAAAAATTAACATCTACAAATGTCCCAGAAATTTTGTAAATTGATTTCTAAAACTTAAATAAAGACAAGAAAATTTCGTCTGTTAAAATAAATTTTGTGTAATTAAAATTGGTGTGAGAAGCTGTTAATGATTCTATAAACAGTTATAATGAGAAGTTTTAATTGCAGTGTTGATTATTCTACGTCAGTAGTACGTTAAAAAATTCCACACCATTTTTTGTGAAATATAAATTTTGAAAAATTTGGCAACTCACTCAATCTCGACACTCATACATTCCTTGAAGATTTCTTGGACGGCGTTATCCTTAAAATCCTGAAACGTCTGCTCGATTTCCATCCCTTGTCCGAAACAATTCAGGAAATTTTTCAGTGAAAGTGTTGAAGCAAGCCACTGAACCGCTGCCAAACAAACTGAGTCATAGAATCCCGCCTGTGGTTTTAAACCGAATCAAAATAAAGCGGACATGCGCGCCTGAAAAGCGGCATTCCATCGCCAAATATTTGTGTAAACACTACATTCCATCCCTGTATATTTTCAGCCGGCCTGAAACGCCGTCGCCGACGACGCACAAGTATGTTAAACGAGAACTGGCGTATTTTTAGACGGGATTTGTTCATTCATAAAACTATTGTTACAATAGATTGATGAATGGGCGTGGATCAGTCATCGGAGACGAGTGGGATTTCAGGTGAACTTGAAAATTTTATTTCAGCGAACCTAAATTAAGACTAAGGAAATTTTTGACAATCACTTGGCCAGGTGGTGGCTCTGAATGTATTGTTCTAAAATTAAGTACATTTTCAGAAACGCAAATAATTCTGGGAAAAACAGAGAGACGTCCTGAAATTATTTTAAATCGGAACTCGGTCATTGGCAATCACAAAACCAAAATTTTCTTGGGGACAAGGATGGCACGTGACAAGGTCATGTTTGTTGTCAAAAATTCCCATAAAAATTTACTTTTTCAGCTTTATTTAATTTTATCTTCAGAGATTTTAATGCCACATGACGCACAAGTGAAAAGTTAATTGAGTTTCTTTTTGTAAAAAATATAATAAACACATGAATGGTTTTATTGGAATGACAATTTTTACTTTTATTCAAATTTTTGTCTTATTTAACTTTTCAAAACTTATTATTTCTCATCATTTTTTGTGTTTCTACTATTTAGTAAAAACCTTACCTTATTTTTATTGTTTATGTGTAATCAATTTTTTCCAAGTGTGTTTATTAAAATCAATCAAAAATTACTAGGACACTCTTACATTATTTCAAATTGTAACAAAAAAAGATTCTGATTTAGCAAATTTTCACACTTGTAAAAAGTATTTGGATCAAAAAATAAAAATAAAACCGAAGCAACAAACAGAATTGAGCAACACAAAATTTGTAAAAGTAGAAAAAGCAAGGTTTTGTGACGCACATTTGTGTTCCTTTTACCTATTCTTAGTTTTATTGTTCGAATTAGTCATCCAAAATGTCGGAAAAGTCACTTTTAAACAAAAACAGTAGGTTAGAGCTATTTAAAAAAATGTAAACAAATAAATAGAACATGTTCCAAAAACTATGACGCAAATTTTTTAAGTTTTACCTCACTTTCAAGATAAATAAGAATTTTCCTAAACACAAACTAAACTAAACTGTATTGTGATAGTCTAGAAAACGTAATCTAAACTGGTTTATAACTTCGTATTTTAATGATAATGACATTTAATAAAGTTTTCGAATCAAGGCTACGCTGCTCCCATATCCTTTGTTTGATTACGAAAAAAATAAATTTGGCATGAGTCAGGACAATTTTTTTTTTGGATTTAATGCACTTGCACTTTCAGCCAAGAGTTGAATTTAATGCAATTGGGGTTTAAGAACTCAACAACTGCAAGAAAATTATTCTATGCAACAGTAAAAATATTAATTTCTCTTCTACTTATATCTGAAATATTATTTTACATTTTTACATGTGTTAGTCATCATTTGTTTACTTGGCATAAACTTGCATTTTAACAAAATTCAAGAATAAAAATGTGTTTTTTTTTGAAGCGTGATGTTACGTAATGAGATGTAGAAAACAAAAATACCATTTTTTAAGTAATTCAGAGTAATATACTTAAATGTAATTTTATAAACAGTTCATTGAGTTTCTAATTTTAAAATATTTAATTTTTAAATTTTAATTCAGTTCTGTGTGAGCAATCAAGGAAACACTAAAACAAACATTTGTTCTGAAGCTTTTTTAATAATGCTTACTTAGTTTACATCTGTTTTTTGAATGTTGACCAACCACCGAAAAATAAATTATTTTTGGACCAATCAATCTCGTGTACCTATCTAGTTTTTCGCATTTTTTAAATTATTAAAGTTTAAGTTAATATTATTGAGGTCAAGAAACCTTCATCTAAGATAAATATTTCCGAAGTTAATGAAACTATCATCACGAGTTTTCGTATCCAAAAAAATATCTATAATAATGTCAAAAATTTACAATCTTTGAGCTGAAAAAGTCACTCAACGGCTCGAGAAAATACTTGTTTTTAACCAATCCTAAACTATTTTTCTGTTACAATAAAGTCGTATTTTACACATGTTTATGTTTACAATTTATAAAGTTACAAACCTGAAAAGTTGCCAACATTTGCTCAAAAAAACTAAACTAATAAAATTTCAATTAAAGATAAATATTGCGCATGTTGGTGCTTATTTAAAGCAGTTTAAACTCAATATTTTGATCTTGACATTGTTTTAATTTGATCAAATTAGCAGTTAATGTAAGAAAGAGAACTTAAACAAGTCACTTATTTTTTTAGATCACCAGAAATTTAAATGGCTTTTTGGCTCTGACATAAAAATACGTGTGAATGTGACGTAATGAAAGCAATATTTTTGGAATTTCAACGTCTAACGTCATGGTTGTTTTGGCTCTAATTCCTAAAATTACTTCCTACTACGTTTTTTTTTAATTATTACACAGAGTTCTCGATTTCATGTGTGTAATTAATGCTGTGGAATATTTTAAATAATATATAGAGATAACGTAAGGTTTTTTTTCCAAAATTTTACATTTTTTGGATACTTTGCAGAGATGTAGAAAGTCTCGGGTTAAAATTCTTGTTTTCTGGTTTTGAATTTAGATGTTAAAATTCCTAGATAAATTCTTTAGGAATTTTAATCAGTTGTGTGACGACACTGATTAATTTGAGGATTGGGCATTTTTGCCGTTTTTTTATAACTCATTTTCTTTTGGTTCCTCAAAAAAATACGGCGGGTAATAGTGAGGGTTTATTTGAAGAACGATAAAGAGGAAAAAGTAAGAAAATTTATAATTGTATAATTTTTATTTAGTTTTTTCCAAAATTGTTTATTTATCTGTTGCTAAAATCAAAGATACTATTTTTTTTTAATTTTGAATTTTGCGCTACAAGTTAGTCAGAGTTACCACAGATGTTTTATTCACTCGCCATCTGTAGGCAGACTTGCTTACTGTTAATAGAAATCTCCTCATAGTTTCTTTATTTTTTTTTAAGTCTTTGAATATGGTGTAATTCGAAATTGTGCAAAAAGTTAGAATTGCAAAACAATTTTGCACCAAACAAGTGTAAAATCGACTCGATAAAAATAAAAAAAAATGTTAGATTGAAGTATTGTCAGTAGGCAGCGCCAATTTAATTTGACAATTGACAGAATTAATCAGTGTTCCTAATAAACAATAATTTTCAAACTTCAATAAACTTTATAACGGAAAAATAGTATCAGTACAGTGTTTCTCCATCAAATAGGTGTACGTTGATTAATTAATTCACAAGTTTCCTTTTTGTTTAATTTTCCTTCAAATAAATCGATAATTTAGCAAACTTGTTCCAGTTTATCTGTTCCTAACCTCAAATCATGAGTGCTAGAAGAAGACGTTCAGGGGGGAGAAATCGCCGAATGTGGCTACCTCGAGGACTACCCTTTCGACCAACAGAAGCAGATTTGGACGATATGCCTTTATCTGCGTGGGCACAATTAGGTGCTAAAAAGTCTGCCCCAAAAAAGACTCCACAAAAAAGGAGAAAGAACGAATCACCAAGAGTCGCCCCAGAGACGCCTGTTGAAACTATAACCTTGGATGAGGCAAGTTGAAATTGTAAGATTCTTAAAAGTAATCGACAATTTCAGAGTATTGAAAATATTGGTATTGTGGAAAACGTCAATTCAAAGATTGAGACATTTATGGAGACAGCAAGTTTTCTTTCAAGTGATGAGGAGGAAATCGAAATGATCAAGGCTAAAACTAACAAAAAGCCTGTGCCAAATCAGTTTTTCATTTCAGACGACTCTGATGATGAAATCAAAATCGTAAATGTGGATAAAGTAGCAAATACTAATAATAGTACTGCTGGGACTAGTACTAGTACATTCAATGCTCCCAAAGCGTAGGTTTTAATGCAGTTTTATTTTTTACTCATTGTAATTTATTTTATAGAAAAGTCTCAGAAGATGATGTTATGAACCTTATTGATGCAGTTCTAGAAAACTCAAACTCAGGTAGTACAGCATTGGCAAATGATGTGAAAAGGTAATGTGGTAACTCTTATAAATGAAACATTAATTTTTTTTTCAGTTTGGAAGACTTGACGAAAGAAACGGAAGAAATGTTGAAAAATGCAACTTCACTTTTAGATGAATTTAAGACTAGTAGGAAACCTGAACCTGAAGTTAAAGTAATGAAAATTCTAGTTTTTTATTGCTTCTCATTTTGTTTTCTTTTTTTAGAAAGTAGAATCTCCTAAAGTAAAAATTGGGTCTTGTCCAATCTGTTTAGAATCTCTGAGTGATCGCCCTGCAGCTGTTACAATATGTGGCCACGTTTTTTGCAAAGAGTGTATTACTGAAACAGCTCGAACTATGAAGAAATGTCCAACTTGCCGAAAAACAATTACCGCTAAAAAGATTCATCCAATTTATTTGTAATAATTAAATTTGAATAATTTCTTTTGTATTAATAAGCTCACGTTTTAAGTTGGTATTTTTTTTATTCATGCGACGCTGAAATTTACATTATGTGACACGTTTTTTTAGTTTTGGTAATTAATTTTGAAAATGTGTTGTACAGATTCCGTTGCTTGAAACCTATTCACTTCAAAACATTGTCTTAAGTTTGTAAAATTGAAAATTTGAGCAAAATTGATGCAAATCAATAGAAAGTTTGGTAACTGGTTTTATAAACTATTTCACTTGTTCCTATAAAGATAATATTTTCCAATTTGTTGTATTATTACCTTTTTACGTATCCTCTTGAAGAAAATGAAACTAGATTTTAAGGTGTTTCACTGTTTCATCTTGTTACAGTTATTTAAAAACAACGATCACTGTTGTAATTGTAATTTTTTATTACCAATAACATATTTTTTTCCTTTTGTTTTTTGTTTTTCTTTATTCCTATAATGTAACCATAACACTAATACAAAACTGCAAACCGGTTTAAAAATGTGGATATTATTACGTTTAAAATTATGTTTTTTGATAGAATTTGTTAAAATAAAACTGAAAAATACGAAATTTTTGTACATTTTAAAAGATTAAAAGCATCTTCACTACAAAACTTACTGAAATTGAAATTTACAACGCCAAAAGGTTGTTAAAATAGATACAAAAGGATGTTTTTTTCGTGAAATTAACTCCGAAACGTTTGCTTTATTCGGTAACGGGCGTTTTTCAACAACTTTACAAAATTTGAAAAACTGTCATAATAAAACTAAAGATTTAGTAAGGCAGGTTTGAAATTTGTTATTTTTGCTTATTATATTGGTAGATTTCTCATTTTAATTTAAAAAACAAATTTAGTTAATCAAAATTAGAGCGCTTATTTAATTTTCAAATTTTTATATACACACATGTATATTTACTTGCATAGAACCATGTTAGCGCCACCTGAAATTTGATAAATTTTGTCAAAAAAAAATACGTTATTTTTGCTTATTTTGAAAAACTAAAAGTTTCTTAATTGAAAAACTTATTGAATTTGAAAAATATTAACACAGTAAAGCAAAAATTGTAAATTTAAATCTAAAATGCTATATTTGTGCTAACTAAAAAATAGTTAAAAAGCGCTAATTTTTTAATTTTCACACTTGGTGATAATAAATTACATATTTGTGTATATTTGGTTGCATAAAAACGGTTATACTACAAACTCGTTTTTGCATTCTTGTGAATCACGCTAGGAGTATTTAATATTTAATAATTTCTCAGTTTTAAATTTTATCTAAAGTTTGCTTAGAAAAATAGAAATAACCAAAAAAGATTGAAAAATACTAAATTAAGTGTATTTTGTATGGATGTAACAGCAAAAAACAAAACTCTTAAAGTTTCTATAATTTCGCAAAAAAGGTGAAAAATTGCAAAATTAAGTCTGATGTAGAGCGTTTATGAAACTGCACCATAACCATAACATAATATAAAAAAATATTTTTTTATTTTAAAAAATTTCTCAACTAAAAAATTCAAAATCAGTTCAATTTTTAAGCAAATTGAAGCAAATTTAATGCCATATAAGGTAAGATACCTACCAAAACATGAAAATTAAAAAAAATATCTATTTATAAAAATTGTGAAGTTATGAGAGTTTAATTTTACACTTTGACTTTATTTATTTCTGTTTGAAAAATAATTTTTCAATTTTTTTTGCTACAGGCTATTAGAAGAAGAACCAAGAAAGTGTAATTTAAATAGATTTTAACTCTTTTTAATGTTATTTGTGGCTTTTATTGATAAAATTTTTGTACCTTTACTAAAAAATTATAAAAAAAAACATTCAGGGTGCGCCTATAAAAATTTCGAAGTTATGAGAGTTTGTTGACTCTATTTATTTCTGTTGGAAAAATAATAAAGAATAAAATAAATAAAAATAAATAAATAAAGAAGCTCGATGCTACATTGATGTAACTCTGTTCAATGTTATTTGTGGCTTTTATTGGCAAAAATTTTGTACCTTTACTCAATAATTGTAAAAAAATCATAGGTATACAGTATCATTAAATAGACATAAAAAATGTCAAATGTCAAAAAATAAATGTCAAAATTATTTGACAGATAGAATTTTTTAAACATTTTTTTCATGTTCCTGGTAATTTATCGTACTTGAAATTTTTCTCTGGAGGTGAGTTCTGACACACCCTGTATACAAGATTATCAGTAGGGATTGATAAATAGATATAAAAAAATCTTAAATGTCAAAAAATAAATAAATACATTTTTTGACAGAGAATTAAAAAAAAATCATGTTTCTGGTACAAAAAAATCGGAAAATGTCAAAGCATAAAAATGTCAGATTTTTATATTTTTCCATAGCTTTATTCTAAAAAGTTAAGTTAGAACACTACTAATTGGGTTTTCACGTAAATATTTAAGTGCGGCATTGCCAAAAAAAATATTTGAATGCCACAGATGACAAATTGACAAGGGCAAAACCTGTTTCATTCTAAAGAAAATTCACTTTTCCGTTTTTATTGTAACCAACTGTATCTTGAAATTTTTCTTTGCGCTTTTTTTGTTGTTTTTAAAGAATAAAGAGAAAATTTTTAATTTAGGGAATTTTGAAACAATTAATAACACTTTACAGTGTTGGAAAATTCATCTTGTACTCACATTTGTGATTCACAAAATTTAATAATTATTATTAGTTACAGAAATAATTTTCAATTTTTTCTTTACCTATCATTTGCTTCTTTTAAAGGTTAAAAATGTCAAGTTAAACGTTCTAAATACTTCAAGTACGTTTGTGCAATTATTTAGCACGAATATTTACACAAAATCAATAGACGAAAATTGTTATTCCAATTCTTTGTAACAACGATTTATATTTTCGTGTCACTTATCCATCAAAGATGCTCTACTCCCTGTACAAAAATAATTCCCTATGGCCTCCATAACCCCTTGTAACTATTATTTGATATAAAACCCAATATAGGCGGTCTGCATTCTTCTTTAAATACCCATCTCCCATTGGCTCCCGTCTCAGCTTGTCGCACTATCATTGGCCAAAGTCACCGGAATGCTATAATCATGCCAATAGGGCGTAACGCAAGAGTGGGGATAAATAGGCGGAGCCAAGTAAATACAGGGGGTAAGGAATTTTTATTCCGGATACCCAGTTAGTCCTAATACCGGTTCTGAACGAAGTGTATGTCGTGATTTTCATCCGTGACGTAACGTGATTTCCGTAGTAAACTGTCAAGAATTGAAAATATGTGTCATTAAACATTGACAGGATGTAATTGGTTCCAACGACAATGATATCATAATAAAAAAAATCGCGAGTGTTTATTTACAATCGCAGTGGTCTTTGCCGACGGTTTTCGTTGATTTTTGTTTACGTTTGTGACTTGATTGATTTTTGTATAACTGAGTTGGGGAGTGGTGCAATATAGTGTTGCGTCTGAGGCGTTTTGCAATGTGTATATGTATATAATGAGTTGTTCTGAAGTTATGTACCAAGCGTATTATCCTTACTTGTACCAAAGGGCCGGAGCAGCGCCGCCAGTGTCGGCCCATCCAGTGCCAAGAACTGGACCTTTTAGTTCGCCCTTCGGGGCTGCACATCAGTATGATAGGGTGAGTTACCAACTTACCAAAACAGCAAAAACGAAATCACTAAAATTTTTTGTTAATTTGTGCCAAACTCATCAAAATTATTTAAAATTAAAATCGTGTGTTTTTATAAGTTTGTTTAAATTAAACCAGTTTCACTCAGAATTAAAACTAATAAAATTTGATAATTAGTGAAAACTAAATTACCACAAAAATGGTTATTAATTCGTTTAATTGTAGGTACACTTTTATGATATTTTAATAGGTATAGATTTTGCAGAAATAAATTTACATTTGTTGCGGGTTTATCAGATTTATAAATCATTAATAAATTCTCTGCCAATAATTTTATGCTTACCGTTTATAGAACATATCAATGAAGTGGTTATAAAAAAAATCAAAATTATGCATACCTACCTACCTAATAGCAAAATAAAAAAATTGTAATTAGACCTGATGATTCTCTTGAAAGTGCTTTTTTATTATTTTAACATGATTTGTTTGGTAACTACTTTGGCTACGATAATGGCCTTGTGACCAATTTATTATTTTAATATTTAAAAATAAAATTTAATGAAAAAAGTACAAAAAGGCAAATCTACTGAAAACAATTTCGCTGAAAGTAATTACACAAAAATTTGAAGAATTTTATTAAAACTAAACCAAAATCTAACTAAATGGCATTGAAAATAGTAGATAAATTTGTAGCCAGTCGCAAAACCTTCATTTTTTTAACAATAAAATTGTGTTTTAAGAATTAGAAAAATCGTGTTTTAAGAATTAGAAAAATCGTTCTAATATTTAATAACATTCTTAATATACCATATACATGGGCGCCAGCAGAAATTATGGCCAGGGGGGGCAAAAAAATAGTCGAAATTAATAATAACACTTTCATTTGTCTATTTTCATATCACTCAGTTTGTGATAAAAATGTAAATATTAGTTTCTTATTTCGTTCATGAAAATTTAAGTTCGAACGTGTTTGTAAAAAATCAAAAAAATCGTTTTTTTTTATATCAAATATAGCAACCACTATCGTCCCAGGGGGGCAACGGCCCCCACTGCCCCTCCCCCCCTGTGGGCGCCCATGACCATATACCTCTAATAATTTTCATGTTCAACATGTTGCACCGTATATTTTTGTACAGTTTGCAGTTTATGAAACTAAAATTTTGTGATGTTAATAAAAGAAATACTTTACAACTTTTGTAGATTGTTTTTAAAAAATGTAATGTCACTGTAATAGTAATTATATACTAAGGGAGAGAAAACAATTTTCTATAGACAAGCTAAATTATAAAATTACTTTACAGAAAGTAAGTTTTTCCACCCTAATTTCAAAAAGGAAAGTGGTCAATTATTTCCATCATTTGTCAAAATTTCAATAAAAATAAATGTAATCTCTCAGGGAAGTAAACATTTTACCTCCCACATAGAAACGGGAAAATACAGAGTGCGCCAGAACTCGTGCCTTAGAGAAAAATGCCATGTAGAGTAAGATACCAAAAACATGGAAAAAATGTTAAAAAACTTATATCTTTAAAAATTACTAAGTTATGACAGTTTGAATTATGCATGTTGACTCTATTTATTTCTGTTGAAAAAATAATTTTCCAATTTTTTTTGCTACAGGCTATTAGAAGAGGAAACAAGGAAGTTGTATTATAAATTGTAGCTTTTATTGTCAAAATTTTTGTACCTTTACTAAATAATTATAAAAAATATATATATATAAAATCACAAAATCATCAGTATCATTAAATAGACATAAAAAAATGTCAAATGTCAAAATTTTATGACAGAATGTTTTAAACATTTTTTCCATGTTCCTAGTATCCTATCTTACATGGATTTTTTTGGGGCGCGAGTTCTGGCGCACCTGTATATTGCTAGATTTTATGGGGTAAGTGGAATATCAAGAGAAATTGTTAGTTTTGAAGTTTTTCTTGTTGGATCGTAGAAAAACTTATATATATTCCATTTTAGGAAAGGGTCTTTTACTGTCTTTGACAAGAAAAAGATATACTTTTTTCCCTTGTAATGCAAATGTTTTTTATTGTAACTTTAATATTTTTCTTATTTAATTTCTTCTTTTTTTATCAGGCATAATAGTAAGTAACCTAAATTCCATTCTGATTAATTAGATCAATCTAATATTGACCAAATATTGTATAAAATAATAATTTTGAAAAACAGAAGAAGTTTTTTAATTTTTAATATTTCTCCAATACAAAAAACTTTTCTTCTGTATGTATTTACTCTACACAGGTTGTCTCACCTAAAACTTCCCAGGCTGATAAAAAAATTATTTTTATATTGAAAATCTTAAAATTTTTCAGCAAAACAAATATTTCTATAAACAAAACTTGCTCTTTTGCTGTTGACAGTAACTTTAGAGTCTGACATTAAGACTAGTTGATTATTCAATAGTTTATCGGCATCTTTTGTGAGAGTCATTCAAGAATCTCGTCATCGCTTTTATCATATTCAGTCGTGCATTAAATATAATTATTTCATCTCTTGTATGGTTAGATAGGGTCATTCAAATTGTCAACCGTTTACACATATAGCTAAGTGAAATTCTTGACCTTAGGTTCACTCATTTTTTTAAAGATAATGTAAATGCAGCTATTGTAGATTGTAAAGATGATCACAATATGTTTCTTAATGACTGTAGGTAGCAAATAACTTCACGGATGTCATCAAGTTCAAGTTGTTAACAACATTCACAACTTTACATTTTTTTATAATGTTGCTTTGTAAGGCTTCTTCCATTTATCTCAGTACATTAGTAACAATGGCTTAACAAAGAAATTAAGCATTAGCAGACATTAATTATAATAAAAATAATTATCTTATATTTAATAATGGCTAACTTGGGCAGTTGGCAATTTGTAAGCTAATTACAACTACATTTAAAAATAATAAATAAAAAGTTTTATTGCCAATAACCAAATATTTGAAAATTAACACCTATTAACTTTGTTCTTATTTTACCAAATAACAGACAACCTAATTAATTATACCTACCCATAATATTAATATTTTTATTTATAGGTAAATATTTTTTAGGATGTTTTCAACAATTATAACATTTAAATTAATATTCTGGGGCCCATTTTGATTTTTATTTATTAAAGATTGTGTTAAAATGTCAGCAGACAAGATCTAAAGCAATTAATTTGAGGACATTATTTTTCTATTCCGCTAATGGTATATTTTATGTTCAAAGCTAAAATAATTAAACTTTCAAATATGCAGACTCTGAAACCATTTTTTGTGATGGTGTAACCAAATTATCTGATCTTGTACCGGATTTCGAGTTTCTGTCTAAATATTTATGACGATCTTAGTGTGGACTATGTATTTTGGTGCAAAATGTGAGACAATTACAAATACTAAATGGATCATTTGTATCGACATTTCAGTTTTTTTTTAATTTACTTTTCAGAACAACTGAAACTATAATTCAATAAATCAATATCAATGTCGGAATACATTTAAAAAACATATATGTATTACTTAAAAGATTTGCCCTAAAACTTATTAAAATATTAATTAAAATTATTATTTTTTGAAACGTTGAAATTTGTAATAATAATAATTAATAAAAAGAAAGAATTTATCTCAATACAGCTTGAAACCTTCAACGTTTCCGGTTATACTTGGATCACACAGTGTTTCCAAATACTTTTTACTAAAAAAAATAAATATTTGTTAAGCTTATTTAAAATGGTAAATTTAAATGTGAAAATTATTTTGGAAAACTCAATACATATTTATATCTACTATCTTAACAATGATAAATAATAATGGAGTTTTTTTATTACTGAAACTAGAAAAACTTTATTTACAAAGAAATCAATCATTGCTTTTAATTTTTCACACTCTGTGCATAAAAACTTATTTAAATTTATACATGTTATAACACCCCAACATTAGGTACGGAAAAAGTCGATTAAATTGTTTATTTTATTAAAAAAATGCAAGAGATTTATTACATTTTTATGATAGTTTGCTGTATTCTGAAATTAGGTAGTTTTATCGAAAGTAAATTAATTTAAGCAAAAAGGCTTTATTTTATACTTTTTTAGATCTTTGAAAGTCGGCTGAGTTTGACAAGCTAATTACAAAAAAACTTTTATATACAGGGGTGCGTGCAAGCTCCATAACTTTTTTTCTATCCAAGTTATCGACATGATTTTTTTTAGGCGATAGAACTAACAATGAGACACAGTATAAGAACATTTTTATTCATATACAGGATGTCCCAAAATAAGATACGCAACTGAGTTCTGTTTGTTTTTTAATGAAAGCCCCACATTTTTCCTCCTTTTTTTTAGAAAAAAACCATCAACATTTTTTATTTTGTATAAATCTCACAAATTTTACAAAGTAGACCTCATAAACCCTATATCGATAAAAAGTTCATAAAAAACGCCATGCAATGATGCAATAAAATATAGAGTGTTGTATTTAAAAAAATTGATCAAAAACTCTTGCAGATAAGTCTTAAAAGCTAGGAAGGTTATATTGATAATTTAGTGGCAAATCCAAAAATGTAACAAAAATTTGGGATTTTTATTAAAATAAACACAAACTTAGTTGTGTATTTTTTTTGGAACATCCTGTATATAAACAAAAATATTTTTATAATGTTTTTCATTGTTGGGTCTATCCCCTAAAAAAAAGTCATGTCAATAACTTGGATAGAAAAACAGTTGCTTGCACGCACCCTTGGATCACCCTGTGGATACTCTGTTTTATTGCAACTATTATTTATGTAACTATTTTTTCGTTTACTCACATAGGCTTTAAAATGAAGCCAAAAGACAAGCAAAATAGAAATTTTTGAGTGAAAATATAGTACACAATTCGAATCAAGCGGCAAAGCATGTGCCGCCTTGTTCAAATACACACTGTTATTTCTATCAATTCCTTTATTTAACATTTTAATTTTATCTTTAAATTTGACATTATTATGCAAAAATTAAATAAAAACTACCTACTTGTCTATGCAA